CTTCCTGGCCATCCCAACTCCCAGCTCCCTTCCCGCCTGGCCGCTCTCCAGCCCCTCTGGAGCTGCCGGGGGTTGTTGTGGCCCAAAGGGCAGGACCCGCCCTTGGCCTTGGGGAACCTCATCCCGTTGGGATCAGCCCATGGATCCAGCCTGGCCAGGTCCCTCTGCAGAGCCCTCCTGCCTTCCAGCTGATCAACAACTCCCCCAGCTTGGTGTGCCCTGCAAATGTGCTGATGGTGGATCCATCCCCTCACCCAGATCATCCACAGGGACATTAAACAGGGCTGGGCCCGGCCCTGATCCCTGGGGACACCCCTGGTGCTGGATCCCATCGGGATGCAGCTCCAGCCCCTGATCCCTGGGGACACCCCTGGTGCTGGATCCCATCGGGATGCAGCTCCATCCCCTGAGCCCTGGGGACACCACTGGAATATCTGGAGCTCAGACCAGTTGGAGCAGCCCTGGAATATTGGGAGCTCAGGACACTCAGGAGATCAGCCCTGGAATATCTGGAGCTGTTTGGAAGCGAAGGCAACACCTGATGGACAAACTCTGGGATCATTTCAACCCCTCCTTAAATTCCAGCAAAGGAAGGGGAGGAGAATATTTCCAGGGTGTGATTTATTACCCACAGCACACATGGATAAAGTTAGTAAATATAACAGTAAATAAAATAGTAAAAAAACAGTAAATAAAATAGTAAAATCAGGGCCTGTGTGCTCCTAAAAACCCCATTTCCTTGGATGCCACGGAATTCCTGATCCCTTTATGGAAGGATTGATTCCTCCTTGGGACTCCAGTGAGCTGGAGGTTCCTTAATTTAGATGCTCCGTCTTGGATGATCTTTAAGGTCCCTTCCAAACCCAAAGCATCCAAGGATCCCACGAGTTCCTAAACTGGATGCAGCGAAGCTTTTCCTTTTCCTTTTCCTTTCCAAAGCATCTTTTTGAGGATTTTAGGAGGGAAAACCACAATATATAAATATATTTATAACGGTGTGTATATATAAATTATATATAAATACATAAATAAATGTAAGTCACATATAACTATAAAAATACATGTGCATAAATGTATTTACACATACACCCTTTGCCTACAAAAACCTGCGAATTCACCCCCAAAAAAGGGCTCTAAATTCATCCTGCTAAACATTTATTGCCATTCCCAAGGAACACGTGGTGTTGTTTGGGTCTTTTTAACCCCAAATTCAGGGAAAAAAGGCAGATCTTTCATTACACCAAACCCCCAAATAACCAGTGGCTGCAGTTGCTTTATGGGACACATAAAAATCCCATAAATTTCCCTGTGTGTGCTCAAACCAGACACCCAAAAAACAAAGGAACAAGACACGCAGAAACAAATGGAAAATTGGATCCGGCAAAGCACGGGATGGGAAGTGCAACAAATGGCATTTTCCCAATGCCAGAAAAGAAATCGTGGCTGAAAAGGAGCTCTGACTTCAAAAAAAAAAAAGACAAACCTTACCTGATAAGGTCTGACTTTGTGGTGGATTTCCTGAATTCCGACCTCTCTCGTCCTCACGTCGCGGCACTGGGAAAAGGGAATCACAGAGGAGACCGTCAGGAAGCTCAAAATACAGAGGTTTTTGGGTAATATTTGGTCCAAAACTCCACTGAAATAGTTGCAGGAATAGGTTTCAAACAGGGGAGCCTTCCAGATAAAAAAAAATGATCACTGATCCATCAGCGATCCATCCCCGTTCCAGCCTTAATCCAGCTGGGAGAGAGGGCTGGATGGAAAATACCTGCTGGCAAAAAAAAAAATCCATTTGCTAAGGAACTTGGGGTGAGTTCTGGAAAGGAATTTGGAAGGGAGGAGAAGAGGCTCAAGTGCTAAAAGATGGGTTAGGACTCGCAGGGATTCTGGGGGTTTTCAGCAGAAAAGCCATAAAATTCGAGGGCTTTGCCATGAGCGGAGAGCTGGGACGGTGTGGGAATTCCTGCAGTGGAAGAGGGTTCATCCAGGTTTTTGTGGGTTTTTTGGGAAGCCCAGCGCTAAGTTTAACCCAGCTTTAAGTCAGGAAAGTTTTGCCCAAAGCAGCTGAGCTGCAAATGCCCATTTCATTCCACAAGCGCTGCTGGAAGTGGAGGGAAGGCTCATGGAATCGTGGAATCAGAACGGTTTGGGTGGGAAGGGAGCTTAAAACTCGTCCAAGTGGCACCTCCTGCCATGGGCAGGGACACCTCCCACCATCCCAGGCTGCTCAGAGCTCCATCCAGCTTCACTTTGGACGCTTCCAGGGACGGGCCACAGCCACAGCTCCTCTGGGAATTGCATCCCAGGGCCTCCTCACCCTCACAAGGAAGAGTTTCTTCCCAATATTCCCTCCTGTCGCTTCAGAGCCATTAATAACCTCCACCAGCGGGTTAAAATTGCACCAACACCCACCTGCCCCCGTAATTCCAAAAGCCAGACAACTTAAGACAGGGAAGGAAGGTGTGAAAATCCAATTCACACAGAAACTCAGAGTACCAGGAGCAAGCTCAGCTCTGCCTCATGCCCTGTCTTTTAAATTGAATTATCAGTATAAAGCCAAGATCTCACAAAATAATAGGAAAAACGGGGGGGTGGGAGTGTCTGGGATTTGGAGTGGGGTGTGATAAACCCAGGGCTCAGGGTTGTATCATCGGGATCCTGCAGCAAAGAATCGTGGAATTGTTGAGGTTGGAAAAGTCCTCCGAGGCCACTGAGGGCAACTGTTCCCCCAGCCCTGCCCCGTGTCCCCAAGGGCCACATCCACAGAGACTGGGAATCCCTGCAGGGATTGGGAATCCACCCCTGCCCTGGGAAGTTCATTCCAGTTCCTGACAGCCCTTTCCATGTGGAAATTGTTCCCAATATCCCACCTGCCCCTGCCCTGGCCCAGCTGGAGGTTGTTCCCTCTCCTCCTGGCCCTTGTTCCCTGGGAATTGGGGACACACTCCCAGCTCCCCACTCCTGGCAGGGAGTTGTGGGGTGGGAAAAGCTCCTTCCTGATCCCTTTTTTCTCCAGGTTGAGCCCCCCCAGCTCCCTCAGATATTCCTGCAGCTCCAGCCCCTTCCCAGCTCCGTTCCCTTCCCTGGACACGCTCCAGCCCCTCGTTGGGAATGTCCCAGCTCTGCCCCAGCCCTGGAGCTGCCCCAGGGGGGACAATCCCTTCCCTGATCCTGCTGCCACATGAGGGTTGGGACAACTCGCCCTGGAAAAAGCGCCTGGAGTTCTGTGGGAAGAGGGAAAGCGCTGGGTGGGAATTTTAAGGAGTCCTTGGCAGGAGGTTTCAGGTCTTAACTCCGGGAACAGCAAAGACTGGGAACATCCAGCATCCACACCAGGGCTGGGACAGCCCTTGGCCCCCTTGCCCACCTTGTGTCCAGCACCTCCAGGGCCTTTCCCATCTTTCCAGCCACTCTTCCACCAGCCTGGAACATTCCCTGGGGATTGTGGTGCCCCACCCGCAATTCCCGGCCTCGTTGCCCCTCTCACTCCGTTGGCCTCGGCCCATCCATCCCACATCCATCCCATGGATCCAGCCTGTCCAGGTCCCTCTGCAGATCATCCTGATCTCCAGCAGATCCACATCCCACCCAGCTCTTCCCTGAGGGTGATCCCAGAACATCCCTGAAGATTAAATGGGACCATTCCCAGCGCTGAGCCCTGGGGAACCGCCAGGGCCAGGCCCCAACGGGAGGCAAACCCATCCCGTCTTTCCAACTTCCAGCTGCACAAACA